TATAGTTGAGTCAGTAGAACGATGAGGCAGCTGTAGACGTTGTTTCATGCTGGTAGGGATCACTACCGGAAGAAGGCCATGACCTGAAGGTGGGCCAGAAATTTAGCAATCAAACTGTGGTATCTTGTATTGACCACTAAGGTCTTCTTAGCTAGAGAATGTGTCTATACACTATTGCTAAATCTCTCACCCCATCCATCTTTGAGTGATGGATTTACATTAATGACCCCCGACCACATGTGACCACGTCAACAACTACTTCATCAGTCCTCTCCTACTGATAGTGTCCCTGATGGGCGAAAAGTCTCTCAAAAGATCCACAGGTGTTGCACATATGTTATTCATCGATTCTGAAGTGGAGGTTATGACGTCATGGTCGACAACAGTGGTGGCGGCCATGATTTATTGTCATGTTAGACACTAAACAAAAAAAAAACTACAATAGAGGTGCCTCTACTACGTCATGTCCGACTCCCTGAAAGCGCAGCAGCGGCACCTCTATGACGTCACCTTCGACGCTCCACAACAAACAGCACAGTAGCGGGGTCTGGCGATGACGTAAACACTATTAATGAGAACGGGACCCCAGTCTAGCCTCGGCCGTAAACGCCCCTCCTCCCCCCCCCCATGGTGGCGGCATCCCAGACACGGATCTACTGAGCTCTGCTGGCAAGGGGCACGGAGACTGCATATCCAGACTGTGTGCGTGTCTGTGTCTGTCGAGTGTGTACACTCACCTACATGTGGTTGAAGGGGGTCGATTCATAGTTCCTGGCCCGCCTCTTCGCTAGGGAGTGTACTCGCCTATTTGTGGTTCCAGGGGTCGAAACAGCTCCTGGGGTGTGGGTGGGGTGCGCGCGCGCGCGAGCGAGCGAGAGAGAGAGAGAGAGCGAGAGCGAGAGAATCCTCACTTTGTACCGTTCGTTTTCTGTATGCGATTCTCAGTGTTAATTTCTAAGTTCTCTGCAATTAAAAAGTTTGTTTATTCAGGTTAAGTTACACAGATCCATAAAATATATATACTCTGCCACAAAAAAAAAAAAAGTCTGGCCACTGCATGACCACCCCCGGGCCGAAGAAATACTTTCTTGGACACCCCTGTGGCTCATCGGTCTCCAAGCTCCATTTGTGGCTCCGTAGTTCGGGCCCTTTTCTCTAAGCATCTTTTACGTTGTGATCATGTCTCCCTTGGTCTTCCTAAATATCTGGATTAACTGTGCTAATTCGTCCGCTCCTACCAAAGAAATCACTGATTCGAGATCATTTACTGTTGCTTATGCTTTACACCGCCTTCACACGCCCACCCCTGCCAGCCTAGTAGCCACCCGCACCTCAGGCTCAACACTACTAGGTGTGAATATCAAAATGGTATACAATACCGACAGGTTGGTAGGCAACATTTAGGCAACTTTATTCCGAGAATAAAGAATTCGTAATAAAGTTGCCTGTGTGTCTTACAGAGAGAGAGAGAGAGAGAGAAGAGAGAGAGAGAGAGAGAGAGAGAGAGAGAGAGAGAGGGGGGGGGAATCACTGCTACAGGACGAACTACAATTATTTACTTCCTATGGGCGTTGTCAGTATAATAGTCAAACTTTAATCACTACGTGGGTGTGACCACACGGTAGTATGGCCAAAGCTGCGGTTCACAGTCATCACAGCCTGATGGATCCATGATCACCACCAGCTTGCAGCAAATCAGTCTGGATGGAGAACAACGATTATCCCCGGCTACCAGACAGCGTGACAGCCACCCAGACACTCACTCACCCAGCCACCTATGACATTTCCGGTAGCGGGAGACTAAGCTGTGATGGAAATGATTACGAGTGACGTGAGGGAATTTGCCAAAATTCGAAAAAGAACCACCAGTAAAAGAATATTCCGACAGGTTATCCAGGAAAGTTCATGGAGCTGGACTTTCTGGTTGAGGGACCGACTATCTCAAATATTGTCTCTAAGGTTGATGGACTGATTATAATTCATCTTCACTTCGCTACTATACTTGCTGCCTCTGTATCTGACTGAAGAAGCCTACTGTGTAGGCAAAACATATCAAGAAAGATACCCAACTGTTGCATATACGTCTTATTCATCAACTTGTTGGTACTTTATACCATTTTTCAACACGAAGTGGTTTTTTTTCACATTTCGTCGACGTCACAATACTCTACAATCCTATTCCAACAAATATATTTGTTCTCCCCAACTTTTTTTTTATAAATTGCATGGCCTTCCCTATTATTATAGATTCCTACATGGAAATGTTAGTGGTGTTGCGTAGATGTGTGGAAACAACCAGAGGCAGACTGCAGGACACTTCACATGATCTATAAACTAGTGGTGAAAGACAGGTTAGACTTCAACTGCCAGATGTAAAGAACTGAGAGGGGGAGGGAGGGATTAGTGGGTAACGGGAAGTGGGATAGGGAGGGATAAGTGGGTAAGGGGTGGGGAAGAGGAAGTCGAAAGCAGTATACTATCCGGCGGAAAAAATAAATGAAAAATTTATTATAGTAAACATCACAGCTGACCTGTTTACCAAAATGCGTGCGCGCACACGCGCACACCCACGCATGCAGGCGCATTTCTGATGACATCAAAATTTACCTCCCCATCGCTTCCCTAAAGGTGAAAAATAATTACATAAATTTCTGAATACTGTTTTGCACCAAAAGATAGAAACTTAACATTGCTTACGTTACATAAAATAACAATTTACATAATCTATTTTAGTACTTGCATAGTTATACATTTCGTTTTCTTGTTTTGAGGGGAGGGGGGGAGGGAGGTTATTCAAGCGGTCAGGTGACCAGGAAATATTTTTCCTAACAATCTTTACAGATCCGAGTCTGAATCGCCTTAACCAGAGAACAAGAGTCGAGCGCGACCTACCAACACCAGCATTCTCTTATAGACGTAATATATGCGAAATACAAAGTGCGATTATCTTTCTAAAACTTACATTAACATGGCTGAAGTAGGTCTTAAAAAAAAAAAAAAACTCCATCCGAGAGTAGAAAAACAAAGCGACACTTGATACTAATCTGACAAGCAGGCGAGAAGTGGGAGACGAGGATCAAGCTGAAATAATATCCTTCAACCAGACCTCACTGCGATAAGCTATACATTTAAACGGCAGGGACCAAGAGCCTAATGGATCAAGCTAGTAACCAGGAGGCCTGATCAGGAATCGGGCCGTGTAGGCGATGGACTGCGGAAGCTACTACAGGTATAAATAAATAAAGGCACAATACAATACCGTGACTTTGTCAATGGTCCAAGTCGGACCGAAACGTCGTCGTAAGCTTCTCTCTTTTATGTGCGGGTTATTTGTGTATCTACTACAGGTATATTCGCAATCTTAATGCAGCAAATAATAATGGCCACTGGATCCATATTTTGTTACAGCTAAGCAGGGCGCTGTAAAATAAACTGACAATTAAAATATACGACCCCATTCTGCTCTATTTCCCCAACATTCGAAAAAACAAACCCAAGGGAAAACTATGTGCAGAAAAAAAATACAAATTTGAATTCTAAGTACAGACAACCAGCATGAGACAAGTCTGGTAGAAAGGAGTCCATGATGCGTTGCCAACTTTTATATTTTGTTGGAAATTTTTTAAGTCAATATTTAATTTTCAGACGTTAAAGTAGACGAGGCAATCAAAGTTGTAAAAGTTTCTAGATAACTATGAATACATTACGTTAATATACAGTACTGTTCGCCAGTGCTACCTGCAATGTCTTCCACGAGTCATACAATGACAGAAAAATAACATTTAATCTTTCAAAGTAATAATTTAATTATAACCTCGAGTCTCTGTATCACAGACTCCACCATCACCACCACTCACTTTCCAAGCAATAAGTTCATATTTAAGTGCAGCCTCTCAACTGTATCACAAAATATCACTCACTTTCGCAAGTGCGCGACGCAACCTTCAGGAAAATAAAATAATTGCAGGTGTAACACTATACTGGGAAGAAGTGTGAGCGGGGGGAGGGGGGGAAGTTTGTGAGGCGAGTCATGTAGCAGAGGCTGAGTAGACAGGCAGCAGACAGACTCTCCACCCACTCTCTCACTGTTGCTGGGGCCTCAACCTTCCAGACAGTAAGTACTATTAGACCAACACTCCCGACATCACCCCTTAATATATTGGTACACCACTACTGCAACCCCTCCCCCCGCGTTACCACTACTGCAACCCCCCCCCCCGCGTTACCACTACTGCAACCCCTCCCCCCGCGTTACCACTACTGCAACCCCTCCCCCCGCGTTACCACTACTGCAACCCCTCCCCCCGCGTTACCACTACTGCAACCCCTCCCCCCGCGTTACCACTACAACACCCATCTTCCTGTGTGAGCACCACTACTGTAACATTAACATACCACACTTCTGATGAACTACTCTGGATGAACGAATTTTGATGATTTTTGAACCAACTTAGACGAGCTTACGAAATCAAGAAATGAGCAGAACTTTCCGTCGTTTCCATGTTCTTAAGAGTTCACCGTGAATTGACCCATTTTTCTTACTGTTCACAGAAAGTGTGAGGGTTAGAACCCATGAGGCGAGGCCTGAAACTCGCAGTTTTAGGTCTTCTATGGGTTCGAGTCTCACCCGTTCCGTGCTTTGTTTACAATTGTGTTATTTACGTTTTCGCGAGTAGTTTCTTATTGTCCACAGCACTCAAGAGCCTCTGCATGGAGTTTCTTAAATGCACATCACAGACTAATTTTTTCCCCCCCACTTTCCGGACTAAGAATCGAACTCCCACCACTCCGGAGCCAAATGATTCCCCCCCCCAAATGTAAGTCTACACCGCATTTCACTTGGTTCTTATACAAGATGACAAATGGAGAACACGCCATATATCAATATGACTACAAAAGTGCTGCGTGTTCCAGACTCCCTCAATGCCACCGTAACCTCTCGACTTTTTTTTTTTTCAGTAGTTAAAAGGTTACTTTTATGAAGAACTTTTGTAACGCACCTTTGGTCCACATCACAGAGCAACTTTTCAACTTCGTTGGATTCGCGAATCATGTGACTAAAACCGGGGATACAAATCACAAAACGGGTCCAGGAAGCAGACCAGTACAGTTCCGTGGTTCGACGCCCGACCGAACAGTGTCCAGTGGCTCGTGGTCCGACCGAACAGTGCCCAGTGGTCCGTGACCCGACCGAACAGTGCCCAGTGGTCCGTGACCCGACCGAACAGTGCCCAGTGGTGTGGGGCCAGACCGAACAAAGTCCAGTCGTCTGCACGCCGACTGAACAAGGTCCAATGGTCCGAACAGCGACAGAGCAGGACTCTGGAGTCCCGAGTTCGGGGGAGGATGGTCCAACTTCGGTCATGACCACTACGCACTCGTCAGCAGTCCACCAGTCTCTGCCTGCTGCACGCTACTCTCACCCCTCTTTATAGGCATCAGTTTAATAGCCTAAGTGGTCACCATGCCTCGTTGCTTGTTGACTCAGAATGCACACAACTGTCACCAATGCAGCATGAATTGGCTGCATAAATTGCTTGATTTAAGAATGCACTATCACCTTTCATCTCGTGTACCTGCAGTTTATGCATCACTAGTGAATAAACCATTGCATACATAAATGTATAAGCGACGTGCATGTGATGGCAACATCGAGTTGCAGGAGAAATTATCCGCACTTCCTCGCAAAAAACTTTTTTTATATTTTTTTTACCCTCTTACAGTATTACTATTTTGCTATAGAGGTCTGAGTAATTATTTCTAAGTTCTAGATGACTCCCTGACCTGGAAAAAGCCCTTTGCTATTAGTTCTAGCAAGGCGGAGGGCAACTGCGAGCCCGGACCGAGACATCTCCCACTGACGCTGCTGGGTTCCTGTCTAGTCTGGCTGAGAGAAGTGAACCCGTAGTGTAACTATGCTGCTTGCTACCTTCTTGTACCTCGGCTCATGTGTAAGATAAGTGTCTCTTAAAAGTTCCCACAACATCCCCCCCCTCTCCCTCTGTCAAGCAACCACACCACAAAGACCCTTCCCTCTCCCTACCAGGACAAGCCACCATACTCCCACTCTGCTCCCTAAATGTCCAAGTCTCTACGCCCCCCCGCCTTGCCCTTCCCCTCGTCCAAGCCAATACACACCCGCCTTCATTTACCCCCACGTCTAAGCCACCATACACCTGCCCTGATACCCTCACGTCTAGGCCAACACACACCTGCCCTGATACTCCCCACGTCTAGGCCAACACACCTGCCCTGATACTTCCACGTCAAGGCCACCACACACCTGCCCTGATACCTCCCACGTATAGGCCAACACACCTGCCCCAATACCCCCCACGTCTAGGCCAACACACCTGCTCAAATACCCCCACGTCTAGGCCAATACACACCTGCCCTGATACCCCCCACGTCTAGGCCACTACATACCTGCCCTGATATCCCCATGTCTAAGCCAAAACACACCTGTCCTGATAAGCCCCCACGTCTAAGCCACCACACCCGTCCTGATATCCCACAACCAAGCCACCATACCCCAGCTCTGATCCACCACACACCCACGGTCCAAGCCACTGCCCCAGCTCCCTCTTGGCCGAGCAAGCCGCCGCACCACCGCCACACAGACGAGTACACAGATAAGAAGTACATATACAGGTTCTAATACACATGAGACGAGGGCAAGGACGCGCACACCGACCAGACCAAGTTGAGTCATGCTACCAGTGAACTTGGTGTGTATGCCCGTGATTCAGGTGGCAACCTCACCGCCACTGCCCTACCACCCTCACCGCCACAGAGGTGCTCGTGGCTCATCTGGTAGCGGCCTCAGTTCTCACACTGAGGAGTGTGTTCGATTCGAGGATAAGTGGAAACGTTGGTTAGGTTTCCTTACACTTGTTGTCCCTGTTTGCCGGTCAATAAGTACGTTCTTGGATGTTAGCCGATTGGAGTAGGTCGCATCCTGGGAGAGTATTATAGGTCCCCACTGAAAATAAATCAGTCTGATAACATAGCCTTATGGAAATTATCCTGAGTTACTAACCTTTCAGGTTAATAATCCCAACAATATCTCCTAGTCAAGCGTAAGGTTCTTGTTCCCAGGAAAAGAAAATAACATACAAGCTAAATAATGAAGATCTTACTGAAAGTAAATGCGAAAAAGAGATCTAAAAGTTCTGGTTAGCATAAGTTTAAATTTGCATTCTCTGGAAAGACTTAGAATTAGGAAGACATGACTGAAGTGCACAAATGAAAAACCGGAATGAAGGAGTTATAAAAAAAAAAAAAACGCGTTGAAAACATCCAAGACAGGACTCGCAGCAATGGGCTCAAACTGGACAAATTTAGAATCAGAAAAGATAGTACTGGTTTAGCAAAATATTTGTAAACGAGTGGAGCAAGCTCCCAGGTACCGTCAATGGGGGGGGGGGAGAGAATTTTGGGTAGCTTTAAATGTAAGCTGGACTGCAGCAGGCCTGCTGCCGTGTTCTTTCATTATATTCCTCTGCTGGCTGCTGCTTCGTCTATCACCGTTACCACCATAATTACCAAAAATGCCATCATAACCACCACCACTGCTATCACCGTAACCATAACCAAAACTGCAACTAAAATTACGACAATTTTAAAAATACCATAACCATCAGCACCATAATTAACTAACTCGGTACTGCTACTTATTAGCAGCATATCTCAGCATACTCCCTAAAGTAGCCTCATTGCATAAATATACACCACAGTGTTTACATTTTACAGGCAGTGCACCCTTGTAAACAACCCACTGGTGACGTCTCTTACAGTGGTGCCACGCGTCACAATCAAGCACCTGGCATTTACAAGCAACTAGTGTCTGGTCTCAAATGTGACATTCTATTATACATGGAAAAATTTAAGGTCCTAATCCTGGGAAAAAGGGGTGTTAAAAAAAAAAAAACACCGTTAAATATATAGAACCTCATCAAAACTGATATGAAAAAAAAATTTAGGTAGTTGAATTCTACTTTATTAAATTACATTCATTGTTAAATGGAAAGCGCTAAATCCGTAAGTAACTTACACCGCCTGGAAAATGAAAGAGGGGGGAAAACAGGTTTGATTCAAGGAAGAGGGGCAACTCGAATTTCTTGGGGGGAAAGACCAAGGAGCACTGCAGCAGGCCTACTGGCCCATGCTAGACAGGTCTAGGAAAGACACTTGTGTACAGTTCAGGACATTTATTAGAATTAACGTTTCGCCACTAGCGACTTCCTCAAAGCACTAAATATATTTTATCAAAAGAATTAGAATGTGTAGGCGAAATGTATATTACTGAACTTTATTTGCTCTTGATTTCAATATATAAAGTTTATATAAATAAAACATGTAAAATTTATTAGAAATGCGTTACAATTCTATACAATTGTATATTAGGAAAAGATACTAGGGAGCACTGGCTTGTAAATGATAGTAAAAGGGTGTGTGTAAATATTTTGGGGATGGGGGGCTTTGATGCTGGATTTACGCGAAAATTCTGAGAAACAATTTAGCCCCCCAAAATCTTTTATTAAAGTACTTGAGACAACAGCACATGCGAAATTAATATCATTAGCAAGACACCGTGTGTTAGTGTGACTAGTCAATGGTCCAAGTCGAACCGAAATGTCATCAGCTTCTTTCTCCTATAGGTGCCTGGGTGTTAGCCGACTGGTGTGGGTCGCAGCCTGTGGACAAAATTAACCCAATTTGCCCGAAATGCTCTGCGTAACAAGGGACTTTATAGTACGTTACCGATGTCAGCTCGATCGGTATGTTTCATCATGTACTTTTAGAAATCATCATCATCGTGATGAGGTTAACGTCTTGAAAAATGTTAGAAGGCATTAAATTAGTGAAATATATGAAGATTCAAATAAGTTACACAAAATGTGGGTCACATGAAGCTTCGCTCTGTTCCTTCTCCAGAATAACAGTTAAATACAGTTATGCAAATTCTTAAAACAGGTTAAGTAAATTAAGCGATATTATTTTATGTAAATTTTAACAAGCTAAAGGGTAAGTTGCCAAGTTAGGTTTCGTGAAAGTCATATGGTAATTCCACTGTTTTGAGAATACAATCACCAACAAGCTAAGCACAACTAAACGGACACTGATACAACTAATGTGACATTTTATCGTGGCAACGTTTCACTTTACAAGACATTTGTACAGCTTTGACAAAGTTCTTGTAGAGTGAAACGTTGCCACAATAAAATGTCACATTAGGAGCATCCGTGTCCAGTTACCTACCATTTTGTCGAGAATTCTACCATTATTACTAGGCATAGCTAACGGTATCCGATGACTCCCTATCCCCATCAACTTCAGTACAGTAATTACCTTTAGAGTTAACACGATGCTAAATTCAGAGACTACTATCAGATTACAACTATACTGATGGCTCAAGTCTACCACCTGAATGATAAGATAAACTACAGAATTAATACGTGTTACACAATCTGACAAGTGTGCCAGGGTCATCGATTTCAAACTTGCGTAATTTTAATTAAAGCTGATTCATTATCTTCGTTACCAGCTGTAAATGGGTTTTGATCCGATTGCATCATAGTTGTTTCTAAGACAGACAAATGTACGAATCACTGAAACAATTTTATCTATAGTCGATATCAAACCACAGAACAGGCGAGTAAGCCGTAAAACTCCAGGCCAGTGAGCAAGCCACTGCCAGCTGGCTACAATGAAATTCGTCCAACTAGATATTTTTCTATACACCACAGAAAGGTTAGCATGAGTCTCACTGTGACCAAAAATGCAGATAAATCTCTTGCCAGTGTGGCTGTGACAAACTCTAGCCCAAGTTCCCTCAAAGCCGCCATTATGACTCACGAAATTTTAATAATACGACTGCAAACAAACCGCTCGCCATGGGTTCAAACCTCACCTGTTTCGTGGTTTGTTTACAATCTTGTTATTACGATTTCGTGAGTCCAGTCGCTATCCTCTGATACTAACCTTAAAGAAAATAATGAAAATTGGACACCTCTGCTGAACTTAATTCAAAGTTGAAGATAATGTATGATGAAAATGGTACATAACACCCGGCTAGTTGGAGAAAGATACATGTGCAACAGTTGAAGATAATCCTGAGCTTTCAAACAGTAGCCTGAAAACCTGCCATAAAAGAACTAGTATATACATTTGTTGAGCTCAGTTTTTAACAGAGCCATTATCACAATTAAATTTCTTCAAATTGTGCATGGAGAAAATATATATGAAATTTAAGTACTAAAAGAACCCGTCTGTTCAGCTAGTACAGCGATGTTAATCCTTCGTTGAGGAGAAGCCACGAGCAACAACTTATATGGAAATTCCTCCCTCTATAGTTATTACATACCTCCTAACAAGCCTTTAAAAATAACTTATCACACGACTGCTAACAAGAACTTGTACCCACATTCTACATCAACTAGGTCAGCTAATATGAAATTGTAATCTATGTAAGGACTTATGTAGTATCCAAAGTGTCTGGCAAAAACCACGACCTCTAAACTTATTCATTGCGTTACAGCTCGTAAGAGTGGGCATAGCATGAACAAAGTAGACGCTCTCTGCGGCCATAAATATATTGAGTGGGAATGATTGGGTGTGATTATGACCCGCCTAGCATAGAGTTCTTGTCATGTTTCTGTAAACGCTAAGATAATCGCCCCTGCGATAGGTCTACAATAACAGACTGAAGAACAAAGGCCACTATACAT